GGGGGGGGGGGGGGGGAGAATGACTAATTCCTGGAGCCAGTTCACCCAAAAGAGAATGGCAAGGAAAAGGAAACATCAACAAATGACATCCATCTTATTTCAGTGTTTTTCTACTGAACTTAGGCACTCCACATCACTTGTTTTAGAGTGTTAGGAATTCAAGGAGATGTGTTTTGAACCAGGTGTGCCACTTCAAGAAATACATACAGCTTTGTTATTGCAAAGTAAAACCAGCATCAGGATCTTTCAAAAACATTAGCCTCTATGGTGCTACCAGCAATGGTTTAATACAAGAATACTGGCATAACATCATAACATAGCTATACATTAAGTCAGGCTCAATTTCTGGTGATTTCATGGACTTTCATGTAGTTTTCTTGGCAGCAATACAGAAGTGGTTTGCCATGGCCTTCTTAGCTACTGTTCAAAGCAGTTGCACATATTAGAAAATTGAGAATTTGTTCATTAGCTAAATAAAGTGATGCTTTAACTTTTCTTCTTGGACAATTTCCCTCTGTAAAAACAATACATCTCTGAGATGTCAGAAGGAAATTTGGCATGATGCCTGGGGCAGTTTTTGAATGCGGAAGAAAGAGTTGACTGAAAATTGCAGTGTACAAAGTTATAATGAGCTGTGCGTTAAGCATCCTTTACACATTAATGGACTTATTTCAAGCTTTTGTGCAAAGCACCGCAACAAGGACGGGCAAGGCCTTTTTTGCTTTTCTAGAACAGGTTTTCTAAGATCGAGGATGGAGGCAAAACTCAGTACTCTACCCAAACAGCATCCTGATCTTTAAGGGCTATGCTGGAATCTTTATGATAGAAAACGCAAGGTAATGGTAAAAATAACCTGGCTAAAATATCTCAGGGGAGAGGTCAGGTTGGAAGAAGGTATGGATAACCAGATTGGCAGAATGTGGTACTCCAAGCTCTTTGGTGCAACTGTTTCCACTTGCTATTGTCACCAGCAGTTTACTGCAAGACCTAACTTTAAGCGGGCCACATTTGGGGTGCAGCTTCTGATGCCCCTTGACCCTCACTCCCAACAATCTTCTCCTTTGCCTGCAACTGTTTTCTCTGCCCACTCCCTGCTGCCCCATTTCCCCTCCCTTCCCCACCCCACCCTCTGTGAACACTTTGCCCACCCCTTTTGGGCCTCCCCGGCCCACCCCTCGAACTTTCTGCACCTGCCTGCATTTATCCCTGTAGCACTCAATAATGCTTTTGCCATCTACAGCCTCCTTAAATGCCTCTGGTAGCCCTATGTAGCTTTCAAGCCTCCCTAAATGCCTCCCATTGCCCCACTTTCCCTTCAACTTCCCATATTCTGTGCCGAACTTGTAGCCATTTCTTTTTCCTGCAAGGAATGAAGATAGAAATGTTTTTTTTCCATCTGTGTACACTCAAAACAGCATTTTTTCTTCTTTTACAGATGTTATAATTGCTACTGACTAGTGGGAGGCACTAACTGGCCAGTTTTTGGCTTCCGGTGGGGAATAAAGGTGGCATGGATGTCTTTGAAACAGCGGATACAGCTTTGCAGCAGAATCAGTGGTTGGTAACAAGCGCTGGCCACCCAACTTGCTCCAGATCAAGGAAGAAGTAAGAAATCTTTGAAAGCTAATTGCAGAGATGGAAGCTTTTGTGAAAGGCTTGCAAGTCGAGCACCCAGGAACCAGGGGAATCTAACTTTGTTTACAGGTGTGGTGCAGCCTTACAATGGACGCTACAGCTGGCCGAACCTCATTTCTAAATCACTTTGGACTATAACTATTTTTCAATGTAAGAGAAACCTTTCTTTGCAACAGATAAGTAATTTTCTTGGTGTTTTTCATTATTTCTGGGACTATACATTTAAAAGAAGAATTAGAACTTTAATATAATTGGAATAATTTGCAAAAAGCTGGATGATAAGGAGAATATAAAAAAGACTTAAAAGTTATTTACGGATTTATGGTTTTGAATACGGTAAGACTGAATTTGAAGCAGAGTTATGTACTAATGATGAACACATTATTGCAAAGATGTATAAACTCTTATTGAAACTAGAGACAGAAGATGAACAAGTTAAGGACTGTCTGATAAAATGGGCTAAAAACTTTGGTTATAATATACAGATGGAACAATGGGAGAAAATGTGGTTGATGTGAGATTTGCCCCGTTCGACAGAGAAACTCTCGTGACACGTGTGGTTCACAAAGA